TAGTGCCTAGCCCCATGCCTCCAGCAGTGTGGCTCAGAGCCCACCATATCAGGCCATGCCACAACTACCATAGTCCCTACTAGCATTTGCTCACAATTTAGGGGCCAGCAATCTCACCCCAGGTCCACAAGAGTCAGTCCATTCTGTCTTTGAGTTGCTGTGGCTGGCTGTGCACTCCCTACACCATGCATACTACCCATGGCTCCTGGCTTCCATCCCAAGATGGCTCCCAAAAGACCCTTCGTAGTCCACATTCCATGTCAGGCCCCACCCATTGAAGGAACAAGCCAATTGGGAGACACTCCACCCCTTTCCTCCACTCTTACAATCTTCCAATCCATCTTCCACTAAAGTCCCTGAGACTTGGAGGGGGTGATAGATGTAGGGCGATCTCTCTTGTATCATGGTGAGAGAGTGGCTTCTTGGGCCTCCCCATTAGTCATCTTTAGGCCATGGCCACTGATCTATCTCAGTGGTATTTCTTCTACTATAAAGACAAATGGAAGGAAGTGGACACATTTAAACAAACATGAATGTAAATACAAATGCCTAGAAGATATCCCAGTAGATGTAATATACTCATTAAACAATATACTCATGATGGCTTCTCCACTAGGGCCTGAAGCCTGTCTCAACACAAGGCGCTGGCCTGGTCTACAGCACCAGATGTGTGTTTCACCCCTAGGAGCGGGCCTTATCCAACTAGAAATTTGTCAGTTGTACTTGTGTTGGTCGAGCCATTATTGCACTTGCAGGTATTGCTTGGCATGGCCATAGTGTGCAGCATGCGGAGTCCATCATTGAGTAGAATTATAGGGGATCCTTTCTTCCCCAACCATCTGCATCAATATGAACATCATCCATCCAGTGGCATACTTAGTCTCAGTTCCATCTCTTCTTCTTCTCCCGTGCTCACAACATGCAGTGTCCTCAGCAATATGGCTTTACTGACCTTTCTAGTGTACAACCAACATTGCAATAGCCTTGGTGAATTGGAGGACCTAAAGGACCACTCTCTAACCAACAGCTCATAGAGGGGCAACCCACCCCTGGTACTGGAGATTTTCTTAACAGTGGTATAGTTTAGGAGTCTTTATCCTCATCTTACCCAACCTACACAAAACTCCCAAGAATCTTACAGCTATAGCTGTCCTTTGCTTCTATCAGGTAGCTTTCAAATGGGTTTCACATCTGTAAAATATTTGAAGGAATGTTAACATATGTTAAATCAATCATAGACAAGGTCTCACAGCATGGAAAGGTTTTGTCCATTCGTATTAATGGTTTTCTCCATAGATCCCTTGTTAGGTACCATAGCATGGGTACAAGGCATTAATTTGGTTAGCTCTATACCATTTTTAGTTATCCCTTTGAATTCTTTTATCCTTGATACACTTACAGGTGTTGGCCCCAGTTGCCTGACCCTGCACTGGGCTAAGGAGGCAGGGGTTTCTCCTTTCCCCTCTGCACTTGTTGGTTCCCTGAGTCAGACAGGCTCTGGGTCTGCCTCCTGACTGTAGCCACATCTGTCATCTTCCCATTGACCACACCAGATTGCTGGGGGAGAACTTGGTGGAAAAACCTGCTTCCACTCCTAGTATAGCCTTTATCAGAAGAGAAATGCATCTTATTTAATGGTTGGGGATTCTTAACCACCCCTTGTACAGTTGTTATCCTTCAAATGTCCTTTGTTAACTGTTCTGGTTTTAAAACCCTTCAGAAACTCCTTAGTACTGAATTTGGTTTTCTATCAATTTTTTCTCTGGGGATTTGGGCTTGACATGTCTTTCCACATTTGTCTTTGAGTAACCCAAGTGGACCATTTCTTCGGTCTGGTCTTTTTTATATCTCTTATAGGCTGTTCTGTTATTTTACAGACACATTTTACATGCTGGTCAGAATCATTTAGATTTACCAAAGCCTCTCTCAGTTTACAAAGATCCTGTCCCAGCAAAGGGCTTAGTAAAACCATTAAAGCCCCATACCATTCTTGAGATCCCAGTTGAATTAGGCTTTCTTTCATATCTCTGGTGAACTCACTCTTATCTGGTCCAGTGAACTGGACATCATATATTGCTTTTCTCATACCTAGTTCTCTCAGAAATGCCTGCCCCTCCTTTATAGCCCTCCAGGCCCTGCTAATCATGTTAGTCTCCCTTGGTGACAACCATATATCTTTAATGCCTTCAACCAGCCACCCCATTAAGGATTGTTTCCTCCTGCATTGGCCTAGGTTGAACAGCCTATATCATATGGATGGATGGGAAGTTATGTAACTCAGCTGTGAAGCTTCTGAAGGACTGTGACTGACGTCATTTCCTCCCATGTCCTATACTCTCATAAGCCATGTGGCCAGGGCTATCTGCTTGCTTACTTGTAAGTTTTTTCCAGTTTTAACAGTTCTAGCATGGAATATTTCCTAGCTACAGCACAGTTAGCTTTTTTTCTTCTTTTTTTTCCCCTTTTTACTTTTATCTGTCTTTTCCTCTGAGTCCTTGGACATTACACAATCAAAGTGTCCTTCCTTTTTTCTCTCTCTAGCTCTGCAATGGGTCTGCCAGTTTGGCCTTTTCAGCTTTCCCTGCCTGGGGAACATATTTTATCATGCAAAGTGACCGCTCTCTCTCTCTCTGGGTGCTCTGTTTAGGTCCAGAGCAGGTCAAAGATTTTCTAGCCTTTGTGTAACCTTTAACAAAGCTTCACATACCCACAACATATCCCCACATTTCCAACATAGCTGTGGCACATGCTTCTGCCTGACTGGCCTCTTTTTAGTTACAGATTTTATGATCTACTGTATAACCCATATGACTACCCCTAACCCCATTAAACATATAGGTTTTGATTGGCTTCTCTCCTGGATTTGGGACTCAGAGCCCAGCTGACCCGCCACAGGGGCAGCGGGAACAGCACTGCTTTCTGAGGCCACATCTCCAAGGCTGTAGTTCCTTTATCCAGCCAGACTGTGCCAATTTTGTCACCCGATTTCCCTCCAAGTCTCCTGTGCTATCAGACAAACCATATAATGTATTTTATGTGCATTTATTAACTTACAAAGGAATGAGAACCCAGTGCTTAGCCCCATGCCTCCATTGGCATGGCTCAGAGCCCTCCATATCAGACTGCACCAAGACTACCATAGTCCCCACTAGCATTCACTCATGCCTCAGGGGCCAGTGATCTCGTCCCAGGTACACAAGAGTCTGTCCATTCTGTCTTCGAGCTGCTGCAGCTGGCTGCGTGGTCCCCATACCATGCATGCTACCTGCAGCTCCCTGCTTCCGTCCCAACAGCCCCTTCATAGTCCATGTTCTGCATCAGGCACTGCCCACTGGAGGAACAAGCCAACTGGGAGACAAACTTGATAGGTCCAAATACCAATAATAGAGAATATGAAATCTGGGGGTATGGTTAGTAAGGTGGTAGTGAAGATAGAGGAAGGGGTCTGAATATGATCAAAATACAATGTATAAAATTCTCATCAAAATAAATAAACATATTTTAATGCAAAAACATAGATTACTATTTACTGGGCACTCTTTAAATTCTTCTATATGTTACATATGTGGTAATCTAGCTAATCTTTAGGTTTGAACTGATTTTCTGATTCATCAACTTTCACATGAACTAGCTCCTAAGATTCGTGATTTCTAATTTGACCCTTCTATCTTGGAGAAAGCACTCTCTTCTTTCAGGATTTGGTTCACGTCTTGCAACCATGGTATAATTTACCTACTGTGTTATCTGTGACATTAGATGTTGTTTACATAGAACCTTCTTCTGCACTTTCATGAAAACTCATAGCACACTTAAATTGAAAATGTGTGTTTGCCTGTATTTTTATTAAATTCAATAGAATTTTTGAGGAATTTTTCCCTTATTTCTACTATCATAAATAGTTGTCATTGCATCTAATCCAGAGAAGTCTTCTAGAAAGGATTTATTAGTTGAGTATGATGGCACATGCATGTAACCACAGCACTTGGGAAGTGGAGGCAGTGGTATCAGAGTTTAAGGACAGCCTCAACCACACGCTTCAAAGTAAACCTGGGCTACATGAGACCTTGCCTCAGAGAAAAAGAGAGAAAGAGAGACAGAGGCAATGATAGAGACAAAGATAGATTTATTAAAGTGTGAAAGATGTTCACAAGCTAGGAAAGTTTTAAAAATTAATTCTATAATTCTTGAGTTTTAAAAATTAATTCCATAATTCTTGAATAAGTATATTTAAAAGTGAACTTGAGAGGGTATTAGAGAAATGGCTCGACAGTTAAGAACACTGGATGTTCTTCCAGAGGACTCGGATTTGGTTCCCAGCACTTACATGGGAGCTAGTTACAACACAATGCCCTCATCTGAGCTCTGAGGGCATTGTATGCACAAGTGCACTTACATGCATGCAGGTAGAACACTCATATACATAAAATTGAAATAAATATTTTAAAAATTAAAAAATAATTTTGAGGGCTGAAAAGATGACTGAGAAGTTATGAGAACAGGTTGTTCTTGCAGAGAAACAAAGTTCAGTTCCCAGCACCCACATGGCTGTTAAAAACCATCCACAACTCCAATTTCAGGGGATCTGACACATTATTCTGGCCTCTACAGGCATTGCACGCACACGCACACACACACACACACACACACACACACACACACACACATGCAGACAAAACATACATATAATAAATAAATAATATATAATAATATATTATTATGAAAATATATAATAAATAGTTTTGAAAAACCTTGAAATGACTAGAGTTCTCATTAAATGTATACTTCTTCTTTATTATATAATAACCAGAGAAAAGTAGACATGTCATATTTTTTAAAAGATTTTATTATTTTTTTTTATGAGTATGAGTGTTTTGCCTGCATGTGTATAAGTGCACTATATACATGCAATGCCCTGCAGAGGTCAGAAGAGAATGTTGTATCCTCTGGAACTGGAGTTATAAATGGTTGTTAGCCACCACATGGGTGCTGGGAATCAAACCTGGGTCCTCAGAACAGCAAGTATTGTCAACCTCTGAGCCACCTCTCTAGTCCTCAAAGTTTCATATTTTAATCATGCTTGAGAAAAGAATTCTGCAAAATAATTGCTGGTCTGAGAAATGCACATAGCCATGTGCTAAAGCATAATCATGGGGCTTAGGACTCCAGCCCATGTAGGTAGTAACTGGCTTGGCTACTCCTTCAAGTCACTCTGTAATATAGATTTAGTTCTTTCTAGATAAGAAAACCTCTAGCAGTTCAGCACTGGGATTTGGTTAAACAGATAATCTAAAACACTGGATGTTTTCTTAAGTCTTATTTCAACACTCCAAACCTCTGGAGTTTACTATATTGGGCTAGAAATCTTAGAAGAAGAGATGTTCTCACAATATTTTTCAACATAATTTGTTTCTGGTTTTAGCCAAAAACAATGTAAAAGAGATGTGTCAACACATCAAGGTCTACCCTTAGTTTAAAAGGAAGAAGAAAAGAAAAAGAGTTGGAAGGAAAAAATAAAAGCCTTAAAATCCAGAAAGCTCCATTCTGGCTTACAGTTAAAAACAGCAACAACAAATCTACAACCACAGTGGTAAGCACCTTGGACATTTATCACTTATTTTAATAGATTATTGTGTGGTTCCCATTCAGATAGAAACTATCCATTCAGTTTTCCCTGCCTCTGGCAAAGTCATATCAACTAAAAGGACCAAAAACCATGATGGAAAGATAAGAGTTCTAAGAAGGGCAGCCTGCAATAAGAAACACAATAACGGGAAATAGGTGGTGGTCACAGAAGCACTGAAATGTGGCCGAAGTGTGAAGTTAGGATGAAAAAAACTGTGAAAACAAAGCACTGATTGAAGCCAAAAAGGAGAGTACGATTTTTTCACTGGGGGAGAATCTTCATCTGCATGTTTGAAATACACTGGTTTTTCACTGCCAGACAACTTTAATTGAATCTGTCTTCCAGGAGAGGAAAACAATTTTAAAAGACCCCTAAAAACAAAACAAAAAAATCGGTGAGAGACCACCTGGGTTTGAACTTAAAATCTATTTTGCACACCTGAAGATAATTTAAGATTTCCAAATGCATTTTAAATGCTTAATTTATTAATACAGGGGCTATTTTTTTATATTCTGCAAAGGTATAATTTAATTTTCTTAACTACATTGATATAATTAAATACTTGCTCAAAGTGGACTATTGTTTCAGGAAGCAGCACCAGCTGCATTTCTTAAGTACCTAATTCCTTCGTCCCAGAACATAAGTAAAACCACAGTACATAGTACTCAGAAGAGGAAAAGTGTGTCAATCTAGAGTCAGTCTCCAGTCATTTACAGAGATTAAAGTATTAGCCCACAAATGTTGCAATGTAAAATTCATATAAAAATATTTTTATAGGGCTGAAGGGATGGTTCAGTGATTCAGAGCACTGGCTGCTCTTGCTAAGGACCTAGGTTCTATTCCCAGTACCCACATGGTAGTTAACAACCATCTGTAACTCAAGTTCCAGGGGAGTCAGACACCCTATTCTGACATCTAGGGGTACTGCTATCCTCAGGGAAGTAAACTTCTAACATCAAAGAAATATTCAAGACTCTGAATGTTATTTTAAACATAAAGCTCAGGATCACTTATACATAACATGTATATATTATCATGTACCTATAACAAAACATGTAATATTCCAAGGTGAAGAAGGCATGTGAAATAACTTCAGAATGTGGCTAGCGGTAGTTTTAGTTTAGTGTTTCTTTATCCTCCATAAGCATCTCAAAATTGTAAGCCTGTATTTACCCTCCTTATTTCTAAATAAAACTTTTACCTTAGTTCTTAAAAGTGTGTCAGAGAAATTCAAATGCAGGTAACAAATCTGCTGAACAAATTGGTCCATTTGTCAAACATGATGCTCAGTGCTAATGGTGGGATTGGTGGGGAATTTGAAACCCATTTAGAAATGTTACCTCCAGTGGAGCAAGGACCTTATTTGGATTGAAGTTGTCTGTGAAAATCTGTAAGGAAAGGCTCAAAGGCTGTTTGTGCCTCTTAATGCACTCTAGTCACAGCACAGTTGGGTGGAGATGGCGCTTTCTCTTCTCTCTGAAGGAAACAAGGGAAAGTTAATTGACAGCACTGCAGAAATGTTTTACCAGCTGCCTGACTTTCTTTATAAGGAGCCACAGAAAAAGTTTTAAAAACCTGCTTACGATTGAAAGATATCTTCCCATCCCCGTTGCACACGCTACCATGAATTGCACGGGAGGGGTGGCTGCCATTTTCTTGTTTTGTGATCTTTGAATCCTAGGCAAGTTGGAAACATGAATGAAAAGCAAAAGAACCATTACATTGAAGAAAGTAAGAAATTTCAGACAGATGGTACTTCATGGAGCTCCTTTCAAAGTGCTCAAATCCCTGATTTAATGAACAGCAGCAACAGTATGGTTTGGGGGCTGCCTGCCAACATGCCAATTCCATGGAAACCGAATATGACTGTGTGGTAAATATAGTCTGGGCCACACATAGGAATGGGTCAAGCTATATTGTGCTGGCAGTCTGTCCAAGCCACACTGGGAAATGAAGCATCTACTGCTTCCTCATTTTAACAACAGTTTGGGGATTCCCAGATAAAGAGATGTGTCATTACAGTCTTGTGGTGTAGACAGAGACTGGCATGAGTCAGGCAGAGCAATTTTTGGATTTTCCCTCTGCTGAATTTGAGGAACCTCTGGGAAGGCTTCCCAAATGCTTGTGATCCTCACAGCTGACACCAGCTTCTCTCTTCTCTGAGAGTCTGGAGTCATCTCATTTCCCTGTGAAAACACTGATGGGCAAAGTCAAATAAGCACACCCGCCCCCCCCACTCCACCCAAGGGATGTGGAATTAAAGATGCGGGAAAGATGTTAAACAAGTAAGAATCAAATAATTGCTTTCATCACAGCTGTGATAAAAGCCTATGAAGCAGAAATAAAGTGTATTAGGAAAACAAAGTTTTTATGTTGTCTTGTGGTCATTCAACATTGAATGTCCAATGCATAATAACTTTCTATTGGTGGGACGGTTCCCTCATTTTTGCAGGTCTCCCTAAAATTTCTGGGTAGACTGTAAACTCAAGACAGGCAGGAACCAGGCCTGCGAACCTGAGAACACTGAACCAACAAAGATCAATAGCCATTCAAAACTGCAAAATGGCTTATGTTACATTGACTAGATCATATTGAGGAATACATTTGCATAGGAAAGGAGAAAGGGACAATTATGCCAAGCAAACAGCAGCTACTGCATAAGTTTGGTGGCACTGAAAAAGTGGGACTTCTCAGTCTATATGCATCTCAGTTATGATCTGAAATATGTGGGAAAGAAAATGGAAAGACTAAGCTTTCAAATTCTTTACTTTCAGGGACTGGAGAGATGGCTCAGGGATTAGGAGCACTGGTTCACAGAAGATCTAGGTTCGAATCCAGTACCCACATGTAGGCTAGCAACTGTCAGTGACTCCAGTTAGAGGAGATCTAGTTCCAGGAGATCTGATGCCCTCTTCTGTCCTCCGCTGGCATGGCACAACACACGCGCACTTAAATATATGCAAGCATAACCCTCATACACATAAAAACTTTACTTTCTGTAGCTCTAAAGTGTGGGATCTATGAGCTTTCAGACACAAAGGTAGGAGTGGAACCAAGTAAGAGGTAGAAAGTTAAATTGTTCTGCAAAATAGGAGAATTAAACTTGGTGAGGGAATGAGGATGCAAAGAAAAGGGAAACACACGCGCACTTAAATATATGCAAGCATAACCCTCATACACATAAAAACTTTACTTTCTGTAGCTCTAAAGTGTGGGATCTATGAGCTTTCAGACACAAAGGTAGGAGTGGAACCAAGTAAGAGGTAGAAAGTTAAATTGTTCTGCAAAATAGGAGAATTAAACTTGGTGAGGGAATGAGGATGCAAAGAAAAGGGAATTTGCATTCTCAATTCTCTCATCTCAACTCTCTCTCTTATATATAGTTTATGTCAGTGATGATTTGCAGGAAAATCAAGGGAAACAAGACCCATCTATCATCTGGGGACATTTTCTGAGACAAAAACTCCCCAATGATAAGCTGATTTTGTACTCTAGGACTTCATTGGAAGTAGGAACTGAGTCAACCCTGAAATCATTCTGATGCCAAGCACTGAGGCCTTCCATGTGGCCCCATGATTAGTTCTACCGCCTCCTTGTATTCAATTTGTATCCCCACCCATCCTTGATCTCCTAGTCAAAATTAGCCTTTGTGAGTACCATTCCTATAGGTTCCTACTTACTGAAGACGTACCTGTTGAATTGAAGATTGGTAAGGTAACAGTGATTGATATGCTTCTCAGATAACCCACTTTCTTCTAAATAAGTACAGGTAAGAGGTTATCACAAAGTAGTGATTTCAATATGTTGGATAATGGAACTGAGGTATTTGACTAAGCAGGTCTTCTTACCCTTTCTCAAATCATATCACACAGGCTAACCTCACCTGCCTCAACTATAACATACTTGCTCTGATTACCTCATTCAGCAAACTTCTGCATCAACTCATCCAGTTTCATGCCAAGCGCACTGACAAAGCTCCAAAGTATCTTAAGTCCCCAAGCCATCTTCCAGCTGTTAGAAATAATGTGCTTCCCCTATAACATAAAGAAGATTCAGTTCCAGAATCACTGTCAGTGAATATTCAAACATTATGCAAATCAGTCAAATTTATTCTGTGCTTTGCTCCTTCATCAAAAACCATGACAACAACCACAAGAATTTTCCATAATTCTGCCTACAAAGCTCTCCAGAAATAGAGGGTCTATTAAGTTGGATTTCAGAATGTAATATTAGAAAGATCAAGTCTTTTTAAAACCACAAAGAGAATAAAGTTGCAGAGTTTGGTATTGTCGGGGCAGAACTCCAGAATCCCCACAGGGTCCAACCCTGTAGAAATAGTTATTCTCCTTTTCCAAGTTGGCTCACTACTACAAGACCTTTGCTGCACACATAATGTTTATCGTTTTTCTCCCCCACTGTTATTCATGATTGAAACTGCTCTAGAAGGCAGGTGTGAGGAATGAAATATTGAAATATAAGGTGATGATAACAGACTTCAAGCTAAATTTTCAAAGCAGGACTTAAATCATTTAAACTTCATACAATTTCAAAGAGTTTTTTTTAATTTTTTTCTTTAAAAGAGAAAGAAAACACCTGGCACACTATTTGGTGAATTCACAAAGAAAGAACCCAAGGAAATTATCTTTGACTGGATATGAGGATAATTGGTTATATAGTTTAAATGAGGAATATAAGTATTCTTGTAAATCCTGAATGGCAACTGCTCTTTTTTTTCTTCACTTAATTCTAGTCTCTCTCTCTCTCTCTCTCTCTCTCTCTCTCTCTCTCTCTCTCTCTCTCTCTCTGTCTTTACTCCCTCCCTCCCTTCCCTCCTTCCCTCTCTTTCTCTCTGTTTCTATTCCATTTCTTTTCTGAATTTGGTCAGAAATCGTGCTTATTTGACTTAGCACCAAAATTGAGAGTTCCTTGGACAGTCGTGTAAAATAAAGGTGAATCCTGGGGTATTAATGTCCTCTCTAGTAAGATAAAAATTTAATCTAAACTTAGAGAAGAAAAATTGAGAACAAGAAAATGACCTCATTAGGTAAAAATGTGGCTCACTTGCTTATTTCTTCTTAAAATGAGTGCCTTCTATAAAGCAAGCAGCTGTCACTGCAATAGGATGATAGTATACATCCAGAATCCAGCCGTTACAATCCTAGCACCATTTATAAGGGCTGCTATGCTGGGTAATTATATTATTGTTCATCTTTTCTTCTCTTCAAAATTATGTAATATTAGGAAGATAAAGGAAATGTCAGTGGGTTTCAAAATATGTTCTAATAAAACTTCTAGTTTAAAGCATAGTTCAAGGCGATAAGGTTCCATAGCCTTGGTTCTATCTCCCCACATCAACATCTACCTCAATGCACTGTATTTTTCATGCACCAGCTCCTTAAACAGTGCCCAGCATATTGATGGTGCTCAATATCTACAAGAATATTTGTTTAAAAATGAGATCCTTCCTCCTCCCAGCACTCATCAATTGCCAAAATTACCTTATATTAGGGTTTCTTACCACTTCCCCATGCCTGTGATGGAACTTTGGTTTAAGCTTGCATAGGACTTGAGCATGCTGTGACCCTGTGAATTACACAGGGTGGGACTCTGGGTGGGCCCACTAGATGGACCCACACTGAAGGATATTTGGAGTCATAAATCAGACTCTATAGGCTGTATTATATATATGAGGGTACAGTAAATTGGGCGGGGGTTACTGGGGGGAGGTGCAGATGGAGGAGGGGATCTAAATACCATCAAAATACATTGTATAAAAATCACTCTGAGAGTAAAAGATGTTCAGGAAGTTTCTGTCTGTGTACCTACTCCCAATGTCTGGTGCTTAGTAGTTGGCAGCATGCCCGTTGTCCAGCCTCTTCTCATCACAGGTGTAAGTCACACAATTAAGGTCTATGTTACCTTTTCTCTCCAGAGAAAATGCCACATTTGCCTGTATCTTCCAAACTGTGACTCAAGCATTTTGTAATGGAGTTATGGTCAGTGGTGTGTAGGTAATGAAAGTAGCTAAATATAGGTTTTCATGACTAGTTGAGGAGCATACTTCATAAGTTTTTAAGTTAAATGTGACAAGTTCTGCAACATCAAAATTATAGTTTGACAGCTTTTCCTCTATTTCAGCTTCTTTTATCCCTTGCCCCTGGTAACTGTGGATGCAGTACACGAAATCTCTTGAAACACAGCCTATTAGAGCATTTCCATTTGATTCAAACAGGAAATACCAGGAAAACTAGGAAGGAGCTGGTCCTTGAGAGATTTGTAGCTCAGATTTCAGACTCTAAGCATAGAAATGTGTTGGCTAATACTCAGAAGAAAAATATTAGTCAATTATGTATTTTTATTTAAAGAAATACCTTTCCAATATTTCTTACTAACTCTGAAATTTCAGTTTAAAAACCACCTTCTGTAAACTCTATTTTTCAATCTTCTGTCCAACATCTTAATTAGGAATTAGTTCTTACTAAATAGTCTTAGCTGGGCAGAGTAGTTCAGGCCTTTGATCATAGTACTCTGGAGGCAGAGGCAGGCAGATCTCTGTGAGATTGAGGCCAGCCTGGTCTACATACCGAGTTCCAGGCCAGCTGTAGTTACAGGGAAACCCTGTAGAACAAATATAGTAATAATGACAATAACAATAATCTTAAGATGATTTCCAGTTTATTAATATAATATTATTAATTAATTTTCCTAAGGTATTGATTGTATAAGTAATAACCCAAAATGAATTTTTCTTAAATTATCTTCATAATATCACAAATTTATTACACAAATGCAGTTATTCGCAATTGACTTCAATGATTAAGAGAATATATAAGCTTTAAAAAGAAAAAGTTGTCATAGATTTTTTAAAACTAGAAAATTAGCATGCCTCTTCAAAGAGCTTTAAATTTACCAATGTTTCTACAAACAAAAATTATACTTTAAAGTCTGTTTAGTCCTGCAAGAAATACTAATTTTAAATGTGAATAGCTAAAGGCTATACAACAAGAAACAATGCCAGACAGGAGATGCCTTCCTTTGAGTTGTTGGCCAGGGTGGCCCAAGAGACTCCCAGACAGTAACCCAGCATAGAACTGGGAAAATGAATAGCAGACCTCAATCTTATCTAAAGGAATATTGGCAACTTATTGCTGCTAGATGAGGAAGAGCTGATTTTCCTAATACAAGGAACTCTAGGTAGGCTGACTAAATTCAGTGGACAGACAAGCACTGGGGAATGCCTGGGGGCACTGACAATACAGTGGACAGTAACAGGGATGAGAGAGTATATGGGGTCCAGTGGGGTCGGGGAGACTATGGGAAGGTGCCATTTGGGATGTGGGTTTATAGATGAATAAGATTGTTAAATACTCTTCAAAGCATAAAAATTTGCCCCTTAATAATTAGTAGATTTGAAAAATATTACCACTGAAATCCACCTGATGATTTTATATCCATGCTCAGGTGCCAAGGATCTCAGAAAGTAACAGAATGTGACTAGTCATAATCAGGTATATAGGGATTTGAGGCATATGTGCAAACATCTAAGTGTTAGTTGCATTAAAAATTAATTTTTCTGTATGAAACAGTTTATTTTAAAATGAAATGGAGATCTTTTTTAAAGATTAAAAAACCTCATTCAATTTTATGTCTTACAGGGTTTATACTGAGTACAATATTGTATAATTGTGTTATTTCAACTGTAAATGAAAAATTTACAGCCAATTTTGAAAGAGATGCAGCTTAGCTCTGGAAATTGTTACTGAATATGTCAATGCTGTTGTAATGAAATGTTTATTCTAATTATGTGGTTATTAAATAAATAATTTTAAAAGAGATTACAAAAGAAAAAATATTACAAATTTTACGCTTTATAAAAAAAATGGTGATTCCCATCTTTAAATTCTACAAAAAGTTGTCGTCTATAGCTTAAATAATATGAAATAAAAATTACTTGTGGGAAGCTAGAGGCAATACATTCCATACATTGTGGTATTTTAGGACAGGGGAAAACATAAATTGCTCAGGTATATCTTGGCTAGAAAACATTTGAGAAAAGGAAACTCCACTTTACCTTTGTATCCAATTTTCCAGTGTAATGTGTAAGTACACAGTAAACCACTGTTGACCTCCCCAGTGCCAAGAAGTTAAAATTACACTATTAACTTTAGAACATAGGTATTTAAAGTAGCCTAACAGAGGTGCTCTCTCTCTCTCTCTCTCTCTCTCTCTCTCTCTCTCTCTCTCTCTCTCTCTCATTTTTTTCTCAACAGGAATGATTATGACCTCAACAAGCCTGTGTTTATTAAATATCAACAGAAGGGAACTGTATGCAACAGATTTCAAACATAATCACTGCTGTTATAGTAACAGGAACAACCCAAGAGAGAAGCAGAGAGGTTCCTGTGCTTGATCTTCAAGTAATTATTATACAGGTATTCATGCAGGCTACATGACAATCAGGGCACTTACCTACTGAAATGCAACAGATTTCAAACATAATCACTGCTGTTATAGTAACAGGAACAACCCGAGTAAAGCAGAGAGGTTCCTGTACTTGATCTTCAAGTAATTATTATGTAAGTATTCATGCAGGCTACATGACAATCAGGGCACTTACCTACTGAAAACTAGTGTACTTTACATCTCCAATCTGTTTGCTTGGTTTTCATAGGACTGAATTGACATGTTGATTAAATAAGCATTCATCAAACAGGCGCCCTGCTAAATGCTGCAGTTATCATAGTGAGCAAGTCAGCGCCTTGAACTAGATAACCAGTTTACTCTGTGTGGATGAAGTGATGTTATTAAGAGATGAAATTAGACATAACAAATGGGTGATTCCAATATCTTTCATAGGACTGAATTGACATGTTGATTAAATAAGCATTCATCAAACAGGCTCCCTGCTAAATGCTGCAGTTATCATAGTGAGCAAGGCAGCGCCTTGAACTAGATAACCAGAGTTTACTCTGTGTGAATGAAGTGATGTTATTAAGAGATGAAATTAGACATAACAAATGGGTGATCCCAATAT